CTCCCAGCACCTATTTCCCCTAACAGTAGTCCCCTCACATGGGGGGGAAATTTGTAGTCCCAAAGTACTTTGTAGCTCCAGTGCCCAGGTGTGATGCAGGGTAGGTAGAGGCTGCCCAAGTCCACTGGTCACTCAGGAGCTGCACGGACAGCATGGTGAGGAGCAAAATGAAGCCACCTAGGCTTAAAGCAAGAGTCTCCTGTGAGCTGAGGAGCTGGACTGCAGCTCAGAGCTCCTACAAACCAGTATTCCTCTGCAAGGGCACAAAGGGGACTTAAAACACACAGCACTGGCCTACCACAGCTGAATCAGAGAGATGGTGAGTCAGTTTGTCTGCTGTATCTTGGTGGGTTTAAAAGGCCAATCAATGCAACATCAAGATTTTCACCACTTCAGGTTTGTTCCATGCTTACTTCCCCTGCTCTTTCTCCTCCAGGTACTGTGCAGGTCCTGGCTGAGTAAAGCATACAGACTGCTCAGTCAGGCATGGGCAGGCTCCTCAAAGACTGCTTTCAGCTGAGCATTCATAAAGTTTCCAGACAAAATTAAATATCCATTTTGACTGGGGACAAAGACGTTGTGTACACTGAAGGACTCAAAAACATTCAAAATCCCTTCTGTGTTATCATCAATTTAGAAGAACTTCTAGCATCAGTAGTGAGTGCTGGAGCTGTAACTCTAATTTACTAGGATTAAATAGGGGAAGAGAATTCTTAGAATTTTCATTTGTATTGAATTATAATTATACGTAATTTATGCAAGGTAGGCTTGAGTCTGCAAAAAGCCTGAAGCATTTAAAAGATGTGAATCCTTCTTGCCACACTACAAACTCCGAAATACAGTAGCTTTGGTGGATCCTACTTATGGATATTTTTAAAACCCTTCTGATAAAAATAATAATGTAATTCATTAATAACAGAAAATGAAAATTATTGCAACAGAAATAAAAGGTAATCTACATAGAAAGACTCTGGAAGTGTACACTGAGCTCAGTCATTTTTTTAACAATGGATTGAACAGATTTATTTGGTTTCCTGTCCACAAATTATCTGTGAAAGGGCACTCTTTTCTGAAATATATTTTTATTTCAATGTACTAATATTTAATGCAAACAAATTACAGGTTCTACTTTTCCTATAAATTGCAAGCATCTGGTACACTCTATTCTATAGCTGCAGAAATGAATGGAAGTAACCTGAAGCCTGTCAAAATCTGTGTTTGAGCTGTGCAGTTGAGTATATGTTACAGATGGTTGGGTATTGCTGGTGGTTCTTCATTGTGCATCCCAGCTTTTGATAAGCATATTTCATTTAGTCACTCTTGAGCATTCACAGGAAAACAGTTTTGTTCTTTTACCTAAGGCCACTGCATCAGAAGTCTTCAGTACTATTTTGCTTTTGTAGAAACAAAAGATATGAAAATGTAGTGTTGTTAGTTTTTTAGAAAAACAATCTTGTTTACTTGAGCATACTCAATATTCAAGTACTTGTAGTTTTTATCTCTTCATGTGCTATGTGTCTTTAACTAAGATCAGTCTCTCCTTTACTGTCTTTCAACAGCTACAAACCTTAAATGTATCCTTGTAAACCTGATTTCTGACAGAGACTGAACAGTCAACACATACTAGGGATAAATACAGCAATTACACCTATTTTCAGCTGTATCGCTCTTCTACATTATTACGATTATTATTACTAAGCAGTTATTAAAAACAGTGCAGCCTTCAGAGCTGCTCCGAGCGTCAGCCTGGCAGGCAGGGCTGTGCCTGGGCAGGGCTGTGTTCAGGGCTGGCCCTGCCTGCTGGAGCCTCCCGGTGCAGGCTGGGCACGACCCCTTGTGCCAGGTGCTCCAGCATGGGCAGATGAACAAATTCCTCTGCTTCAGCCTTTCTTGCTCCCTGCTTTTGTCCTGGAAGTTTCTGCTCTTGGTTTTTGGTCCTTCTACCGTAGTGCAACGTGGCTACTGGGAGGTGCTACAGGTATCACAGAGGTGGGTACAGAGGCAGAGGACATGCACACTTCTGCTCCACCACACCCATGCTTTCCCCCAAAATGAAGAGAAATTGTCCTCCTGAGCTGTCAGAGTCTGTGACTTGTGTGGTTCCTTCTGTTTCTGCCCAGGAGAGGGCAATCCAGCACCCAGGCAGCAGCCAGATTACCCCAGCCCTCCTTTGGGGTGCTGAGGGGCCATGTGATGGTTAATGCCTCTCCAGAGGCACACAAAACATGGCTCTGTGTTGGCTGGTGGGCTCTAATGGCACACTTCCAGCCAGCTGGGAATCACAAGCCAGTGTCCTGGTCCCTCTCTGCTCTGGTGCCTTCTTTAGTGCTCATGTGCAGCATTCCGGCAGGGTTTGGGTAAGCCAATGCACTGTGCAGGTCTGGGGACTGGGGAAGCAAGGATGTGTCCCAGTACTTCCTTCCTGGCCTCCAGGTGCTGGTGTCAGTCTCACCACTTCGAGGTGCAGCAGGATTTGCATGTGCATACGCCCACATAAAGACAACTCTGCACACGGTTTCCTCATCTGTTGGTAGCCATGCCTATGCACAGGCACAGGAATAGACTCAATTTCAGATTTGGGAAGACTAGTCTCTTCCTCTTGTTTTCCTCCACCTCTTTTTTTCCTCTGCTCACATTAAACTTGTTTTTCAGATTAAGGAATTTATTGACTGCCCTAAACCTTGGGCCAGATATTTGCCTTTGACCCCTGGGCCACTTTGGGTAGCAGCTTGATGCCAGTGGTGCACGGGGCTTGGAGCAGCTCAGGCAGTGGGGCTGGCTGCATGCCCCCTAACCCTCCCCCCCAGAGCACACACAAAACTTAAAAGGCAGCAGATCCAAGTGGGAATCAAGATGACACTGTCAGGATCCCTGTAACTTTATGTTCCTTTGATTCTGCCTTCTGTTTTACTGTTCTGCACATCACACTAGTCTAGATGATAACAGGCAACTGGAAGAGCTGCCGGAGCCTGTAATTAGCAGGCTCCTACCCTGGGACTTGGTTCTTGCTGGTGGGCTGTAGGTGTGGGATAATTTGCTAGTTAATCAATGGGAATTATTAAAATATCACTGCATATTTTTGCTTTGTGCTAGACCCATACACTGAAGCTCTTATAAGGGGGTTGAGGGAAGTATCTGAGGTTTCTACTCATGAAAGCAAATCCTACTGCTCCTTCCCTTCCCACCACCTTAGCCAAAATAAAAATACTAATATGATTGCCATGTTTAACTTCAGTGAAACAGCGAATTTTAACTGAATCAAAAAGTCCTTAAAACAGAAATGGCTTACAAGTTATGCAAAATTCCACCATTTTAATTACAGTAAGCAGTGTGTCCTTTCTTAGGCAAATATATTATATTTTGGATTTGCTTTGCAAAGAAGGTAAAATCCATAACTTGGCAGATTTCTGGTTGGGTTTTTTTTGACATTTTAAAAAGTATGTTGTTCGTTGGTTATAAATACTGTGTTTATTAGTGCTGTGACTCTATTTTTTCCATCATTTTGGTTTTAGGTTTTAAGGTAGCCTTGTTGGGATCTTTTAGAGTACAAGGTAGATGCAGAGAAGTTTTCTCGTAGGTGTGTAGCCATGTTACAGGCTTTTCATGGGGTCAGCAAGCCCTGGCAGAACACTGCCACAGTCACTGCAGCACTGCTGAGCCAAACGTTGCACATGCTATTTATTAAACTCAGCACCTCCAGTAATGGCACTGGAGTGGCAGTGTAGTATTGCTACATAGCTGGGGTGCTCTTAAAGAGAGAAGTGACATTCCTCATGTATTATCTGTTGTCTCTGTGTTTAGTGACAGAAGCTGTGGGAAGTCTATAAAAACAGCTCAATACGTCACTTCTTATGGAAACTGTTATTCCTTAAGAACATTCAGAAATAGTTTTGCTAAACAACTACTGGTAGGGGAAAAATAAATTATGATTCCGATCAGTGGTCAGTCATGAAATTTCATATTTTATCCTGAAAAGAGAGGTCAGACTTTCCAGAATTAGCCAAATGGCAGTAAAAACTAGAATTTTTCAAATATGTCTTAAAATATTCCTACCTTCAGTCAGATTTGAATTAAATTTTTGAAAGTGGGTAAAGCCATACAATGCTCAAATATTTTTCGGGATTATTACAAAAATTTAGAAAAAGTAATGGCGTGTGCCTTGATTTCCCCGTCTGTGAAATGGGCGATCCCGCAGCGTTCATGCAGAGCACTCCGACTGAGAACCGTTGTGGCTGCAGCTCATTGTTATTCTCTTAATCATATTAGTTAACTAAATCTGTTCCTAGAGTGGTTCCATTTGCTTGAATGAATTTACATGAGAGATTAATTCAGCGCTGTTTATTGTTGTTTTTACATTTATTCAGTACTGTAAATAATGCCTGATACTTTACAGCTGTGTATGAGGACACAGTCTGTGCTTCGAGGACTTTTTCGTACAGGTAATTTGAAGGCTCCCCTCCTAGACCTGGCACTTTCCCATTGAGCACATGAGCCCATTTTGTTTATTCTATATTTTTAGGACTTTTCGTTCACGTGGTGTCCGCTCCCAGCACTTTCCTGCAAGTATGATTCAACAGATAAAGTTCATCGCTCACCTCCAAGGGGTGATCTCCTCCCCTTGCCCTCCCCTCCTCCCTCGGGACCCCCCTCCCGAATGTTAGATATTCACTGGCAACGCTCTCTAACCGCTATTGGATTTATGCCCAGCAATGATCCGAAAAACTGGGAGCAGTCTCCCACCTAGCTGCCGACGCCTTTACCCCGGACAGCGGCGTCTAGAATGACCCATTTGTGTCCGGCTGACCCCCGCCGAAGGGCACTGCCGCTGCTTGTCCGGGGGTCCCGCTCTGCCACCCGCCCCTTTGTGCTTTCCCATTTTCCGGGAGGTTTCTGCGGCTGGCATCCGAGTGCTCTCCATTGTGTGAAGAGTGGCGTGCGGGGCTATTTCTTTGTGCCGGCCGCCCTCCCTGCCGTGCCCCGGGCGCGGCCCCCCCGGCCCGGGCAGCGCGGAGCGGCCGCCCCGGGCGGGCAGCGGGCGCTGCGGGAGCCGTCGGGCGCGGGGGAAGCGGCGGCTGCCCGCGGCGGGATGGCCGTGGCCTGTGTTTATGTATTTTGTAGTAATCACATTTCTGACATTACCCGCGGGGTGATTGGCTCAGGCAGCTTTTAAACCACCTATATGCTAACGAGCCCGCCGCGGCTCCGGCGGGGGCCTGCGGGGGGACAGCGAACCCCAACCCGCACCTCTGCCAGGCGGGGAGAGGGGGATGGCATTTCTGAACTAGTCGGCAGCGCGGACAGGAAATGACCCCTCCAGAAACTGCTGCTTTAAAACCGAGCGGCGGTGCCTGAAGCTATCCAGCCTCCCTCTCCGTGTCTGGAGCCTGTGCGCTCCCGCTCCCCCCACCCCCCCGCCCGTCTCCGCCGGAGCGGGCTCCCACAGCAGTCCCCAGCCAGTGCGTGCAGCCTGGATGTGTGTGTGTGTGTGCGCGCCGCTACTTTGTACTGTGAAGAACACACAGCCCATGTGCTCTGTATGGATGTTGATGATACTCTGTGTAGCTTGAATCTCTGCAAGCAGGCAAGATGTCCAGCACACCACATGACCCTTTCTATTCTTCTCCTTTTGGCCCATTTTATAGGAGACACACACCATACATGGTGCAACCAGAGTACCGAATATATGAAATGAACAAGAGGCTGCAGTCGCGGACGGAGGTAAGTCCCCCAGCCTTGTTTTCCTGTGCATGGACCGTGGTAGGTTTCAGCCCGAATTCCAGCTGAAGCGTCCCACTAGACAGTACAGTATATGCAGGCATGAACCCTAATTAATTTAGTAGTTTAATTGGGTAATCCCTCATTATGTTTCCACGCAGAGCAACTCTTTGAGGAGATACCAGCTTAGGCTGAAATCATGAAATTACAGTACAGCACTTCAGGATTGATTATAACGCTGGTCTCAGGAAATTTCTTTGCCTCAGTGTGTTGTTTGTTCAGGATCCGTCCTGCTGGCATTTGCAGCTATAATATTCAGAAGTATTGCTTCGGCTTTTGCACAAAATTAATTCTGGAATGTTGCAGGTTTTGGGGGAGAGACGAACATTTTGGTTTTGTTCTGTAGACTCATTAAAATGAAAAATGGATGATAACTGAAAAGGGGAGCAGAGTTTTAAAAACTTATTCCTAGGCTACTCTTAAAGAACACGTTTGGGACAACTGACAAGAGAAATTTGTGTTTACATGTAGAATGCTGTTGCTTTTAGCAAGAGAGATGGTCAGTTCACTACTTTATCATATAGCTGTCAAAAGTACCCTGTAATGTAAACTACATTTACTGTTGGTTATGCTCTGTAAAATGTGTTAGTGGTTTATACAACCTGGCTTGAAAATCCAGATCAGCCACTGCAAAGAACATACTGAATGGGAGGGGGAAATGCTTTTGTCATTATAAAAAAAAATAAAAAAATAGTGGGAGCTGCGTCTTGTTATTTACATGGTTTGTTTTTTTTATTTTAAAAAAAAAAAAAAAAAAAAAAAATAGTGGGAGCTGTGTCTTGTTATTTACATGGTTAAAGTAAAGCACACTTTTCAAGTCTTATGAAGTGAAAGTGAATCAGGCTGCATTTCTGTCCATGTGTCTGTGTTTGTGCAGCAAACATTCTTGGTGCTGCAATTTTTCATAGTAGTCTATTAGTGGTGCCCTGAAAAGACTTTTTAAAAGTACAAATCTTTTATAGTAAACGGCTTTATGTAGTGGCAAATATCTGCCAGGTTTGTGACACACAGCGTGGTGAAGGATCTCAAGTTGGTCTGTTTGTTGTATTGTGATTCTTTAAGATAACATGAGGTTATCATAAAATAAAACACACATGCCTGAATTGTCAGCTAAGCCATGGAGAATCTGTGACGTTTAATGTATATGATACAGCTAAGGAGATGTGACCTGCTTTCTGATTGGGTACCGCCACGGGGTAACTGCTTTTCTATCACTGTTACCACTGCCAGGCTTGGAACGTTCCTGGGGAGTAACTGGTGATACACTTTGTGCTGGCTAAAAACTCCAAGCAGCTCTTTGCTCCCAAAACCATGGCAAGTGTTTGTCAGTTTTGCCCTAAGTTGTTGGCTGCAAGGGTTGCTGCCATTTAGAGTGAGGGTTTGTTTGCTACTGCTTGTTTGTTAGCGTCTTGCAACTCTGTTCCTTGCATTCCTGTACATACTCATGTAATAATTTATAGACTTTTGCAAGTGAGAAGAGCAAATATGTATCACTGAGTGATTTCTTCAGGGTTTTACATACAACCTGCTCTAAAATATGTCAGTGCTCACTTAGCCTTTTTACATATTATTTTAGTGGTACTTTTAATACTGGACCAGCTCCTGATTGTAGCTCCTTTATGGATGTTACACTAGAAAAGTTTTTGAGGGACTTGTGAAGCAACTTTCCTTTCCTTCATTGCTGAGGTGTGCTGAATTAAACTTCAGCACCTATAATTGCAATATTTTGCTGCACAAATTCAGATGGATTGTTGTGGGCAAAAAGCAATAACCCACTCTTTCTTGCCAAGAGTGCCTTGCTAGGTTTCAGCAGCATTTTACTTTGACAGTCAGTATTTTGTTAATGAAGGCCTTATGCTCCAGCATTTCTTTTATTTGCTCAGAATAAAAATTCTTTTGCTTTGTGATTATTCAGTGTTTACATTCTGGTTCTCTGTTTTTTTCAGTTTATGAGCTCTGTGCTGTAAGCATTGTTGTTCATTGAAATGTGTTTTTTAGCTAACTTCAGTTGATCTCATTCATCTTCCAATAAAAACATCTCCATAATAAACAAACAAAAATATTAAACTAATTTCCTGGGACACTAGGGTGACTAGGTGTGGACAGTCTGTAAAGAATAATTCTGGCTTCTTGGGCGGGTCAGAAAGTGGAAGTTTCAAGTTAATTTTATACACTTCCAAGCATGTTTGGGATTGGTAGGTGAAGGCTCCTGGAGCATGTATAACTAGCTCTAAATTTTTTGAATCCAGAGCCTGGTATGTCATGGAAGGAATGTGCTTGTGCTGTGGGTGATACAGGCTTGCTGCAAGAACGTTTCTCTTCAGGCAGCCTTTGGAATAATGTAGGCACTGGTCTCTGAAGGAGTCTGCTTGTGCTCTGTGAGCCCCAGGGGGTAGGTGAGCACAGGCAAAGCAGCTTAAGGCGAAAGGAATTACAAAGAAACTCTCCAAAAGACTGGGGGTAGCAAGCTGGCAGATTCCACGTGGACCCAACTTGTGCAGAGAGACAGTGGCAAATGAGGATGCATTAAAAAAATGGGAAACTACAGCCTTTATCCCAAATATATCCATTGAAAGCCTTTGGGATTTTTCTGATTTCATAAAACATAAAAATGTTCTTAATAACCCTGAAGAGCCAGATTCTCTACTGTCCCTTGCAGAGGTGGAAGTTCCAAGGCAGAGCAAAACATACATAATTTAATAAAGTTGTACAGAGGATGGATGGAGAGCCTATGGAAGGAGCATCTGTATGTCATGTCCATCTGTTTTCTTCCTCTCCCTTCCCACTGTAGTTCTCCAAAGCTTGCAGGTAGGTAAGAAATTATTGAAAAAAAAAAAAAAAAAAAAAAAAAAAAAAAAAAAAAAAAGAACTGGTAGAAGAAGCATTGGGGAATCCACCACAGGCCATTCCTACTCCTGCTCTCCCAGCAGCAGGGTCAATGATGATTGGGAGAGGTAGAAGTGTTCTCAAAAGGGCTCAGGGCTTGGGGACCCTTCCTGAGAAATCCACTGCTTCTGCTCCAGTTTCTGTCAGCACTGGGTGGAAGGGAATAACGGTCAGTGTGAAGGATGTGCTCGGTGTATTAAGCAGACAAAGTACGGAGTGATAAAGAAAGGTCATTTAGATGCAGCATAGCTATCTTTGTTGTTCTTGTTTTCTTTAGGAAGAAATGGAAGTCATGAAAGTAAAGAATTAGCAGCTTTAGCTTGTGCTAGATGTGCAAACTTCTGCTCTTCAAACTTCTTATAACTTTATGGGCTCCTCAGACAGAACCTACAAATGCCTTTTTAAATTCAGGGTCAGTCTTAGGCGAAGAATTCCAATCACACCCAGGCAGGGGGTGGTTTTATGATGTAAGTACTGGCAAAAGTCCACCACCTAGCTAATTCTTATGTGATCTAAAGTAAATTAGAGAGTCTGAGTTACTAAACAGTCTACAGGAAAACTGTACCTTCCTTAAAAGTTGTTCAAAGAAATCTAATGTGGTAATACTTTTTTCTAAATTAATACATGCTTTCCTAATAATACTTTGGGAGCATCCAATGCCATTTTGTAATGCATCAACAATCCCTATTTAAAGAAGTAAAATGAATATTTAAATGTTTAATAATCTCTGGCAGATATAAAGATAAATCTTGCTTACTTCTCTCATAGTTGATTAACTTCTGGTTAAACAAAATGCAGCTGTTTCCTTGCTCTGTGTGTGGTTTTCAGGATTTAATTCCCATTCACTCATACTTGGTTTATCTTAATTTTTGTATATCTGTGTTAGTTTAACATTTCAAGAAAGGAATCCTGTTGTGGCATAATCAGCACTTTCTGAAGTTCTAGGTAGCAATACACAACATGAGTAAATGTCTCTGGTTTTCATAAAAGTTGATGTTTAAAAAGGCACCTATTTTCCTCTTTGATGTTGTAAATCTTTTTCTGTTCTAATTTTTAATAATTTGAAATTGCTTACACTTAGAAGAAAAAAAAAGGTGATTATATCTTGTATATAATTATTCAGTAGCATTACAGAGTGCTGTGAATAGATCGCCTAAAGTTGCTGACAGTTTAAAGTTTGAGGCGTTGCTTTATTGTCAGTAATCAAAGAAATGTATCAAGCCTTTCACTTGTTTATTTAGTCCCCTGTATTGTTTGAACTTTTGTGTATCACAACACATTAAATTCACCTGTATCTCTCTCTGTCACTACAAGAGATTATGCTTTACATCACCAATGGATGCAACACGCAGCTTTCCCTCTGGCTAAGAGAGCAGTGTTTTTAAGGGTGACTAGAGACCTTGATTAGTAGCATATTTGTTTTAAAGACAATCAGCTTAATCAAATTATATTAAACTCCTATTAAACTGGATAGTGAATTTAACAAAGATTTCATGATGGAAAAATATATAAAGAAAATTAAAAGGAAAATAAAAGAGGATGTTATGATTATTTAAAAGCTGCTAAATGAACTGGAAGCTTACACAGACATTCATATGCAACCAAATATTTAATGCAAATCAAAGCAAAACAAATTTTCTGCAGTTTAATGAAAGTCTCGTATTTTTCTTTCTCACATTGCTATCTGATGAAATAATTTTCTTCTTCCTGATGCATTTTTAATAGATTAGTCATAAAAATCTATGTTGTGACATCACATTTGTTTGCCTAGCAACTTAGTGTGGCAAACAGATCTCTCATATTGTATACATAAGTCTGAGTTTGTCCAATGAGTTTGTTTTGTTGAGGGGAAAACACATAAACTTCTTTTTTTAAAGTAATTTTGAGGAAATATTTCACCTACAAATATACTAATACTTAGCAATTCTAGGAACATGACTAAAGTATTTTGAGAGTACTTATGAACCATGCTTTGCTGAAACTAAAAGGTCAGTGTTAAAAGAAAACCCTTGAATGCCTTTAGGCAGACGCTGACTTCAGAATGGATTCAAGGCTCT